AGAAGACAAAGTCAATCATAGTGAAATGTGCAAAGACCTGGAGTTAGAAAAACAAAAGGGAAGAACACACTCACTCAGCATTTCTCAAGCTGAAAGAACTGAAGAAAAAATTCAAGCCTCGAGTTGCACTACTGAAAGATTCTATGGGCAAAATATTGACTGATGCAGGAAGCATCAAAGGAAGATGGAAGGAATACAGAGTACCAAAAAGAATTGGTCTATGTTCATCTATTTCAAGAGGTGGCGTATGATCAAAAAACAACGGCCTTGAAGGAAGAAGTTGAAGCTGCATTGAAGGAATTGGCAAAAAAGCAAGGCTCCAGAAATTGATGGAATTACCCATTGAGATGTTTCAACAAACAGATGCCATACCGGAGGCACTCACTCGGCTATGCCAAGAGATTTAGAAGACAGCTGCCTGGCCAGTTGACTGGAAGAGATCCGTATTTGTACTCATTCCAGAGAAAGGTGATCCTTTCTTTGTGGAAATTATCAAACAATATCATTAATACCACATGCAAGTAAAATTTTGTTGAAGATAATCCAAAAAAAGTTGCAGCAGTGTGTTGACAGGGAACTTCTAGAAATGCAAGCTGGGTTCAGAAGAGGACGTGGAATGAGGGATATCATTGCTAGATGGGTCTTGGCTGAAACCAAAGAATACCAGAAAGATATTTACTTCGTGTTATTGACTATGCAAAAGCATTTGACTGTGTGTGTCATAAAAAAATATGGATGACATTGAGGAGAATGGGAAATCCAGAACACATTGTGCCCATGAGGAACCTGTACACAGACCAGGAGGCTGTTGTGTGAACAGAACCAGGGGATTTAAAATCAGGAAGGGATTGCATCAGGCTTGTATCCTTTCACCATGCTTATTCAATCTATATGCTGACAAATAATCCAAGAAGCTGGACAATATGAAGAAGAACGTGGTATCAGGATTGGAGTACGACTCATTAATAGCCTGTGATATGCAGACAACACAGCCTTGCTTGCTGAAAGTGAAGATGACTTGAAGTACTTACTGATGAAGATTAAAGACCACCGTCTGCAATATGGATTATACCCCAACATAAAGAAAATGAAAATTTTCACAAGTGGACCAATAAGCAGCATCATGATAAATGGAGAAAAGATTGAAGTTGTCAAAGATTTCTTATTACTTGGTTCCACAATCAACATCAATGGAAGCAGCAGTCAGGAAATCAGGAGATATATTGCACTGGGCAAATCTCCTGTAAAAGACCTCTTTAAAGTGCTGAAGAGCAAAGTTGTCTCTTTAAAGACTAAAGTGGGCCTAACCTAAGCCATGGTGCTTTCAGTCGCCAATATACATATGAAAGCTAGACATTAATAAGGAAGACTGAAGAAGAATTGATGGTTTTGAGTGTGATGTTGGCAAAGAATGCTGAAAGTACCATGGACTGCCAAAAGAACAAACAAATCTGTCCTAGAAGTGCAGCTGGAGTGCTCCTTGGAAGTGAGAATGGCCAGACTTTGTCTCACCTACTTTGGTCATGTTGTCAGAAGGCACCATTCGCTGGAGAAGGATATCGTGCTTGGTAAAGTGGAGGGTCAGTGAAAAAGGGGAAAGACCTTGACAAAATGGATTGACGCAGTGGCTGCAACGATGGACTCAGGTATAGCAAGGCACCTAACAACAACATGTTTGTTTCTCATGTTAAGTCTGTAGGAATGGCAGTGGTGTGTTGGCTCCAGCCGCCACTGGCTCTTAAGAGCTGATTATGTGCATCTCTTTCCAACTCCATGTTCAGTGACCTCATATTGGTAGCTTGAAATTGGCTATTATGGGAGCATTTAAACCATGGAAATTGACAAATGCTACATATCGGGACTTCTTTATTTTTCTCTGGGATCTTGCTTCCCCACCTTTCAGTGAATTCAGTGATGGTGTGTGTGATAGCTGGAGTTGTGTGTCAACTTGGCTGGACCACAATTCTGAGTGGTTTAAGTGGTTGCGGTGTGGGTTATTCCCATGATGAGATCAGATGTATATGTTTTGAGCAGCCAATCCATTGAAAGGGAGTTTCCCTAGGAGTGTGGCCCACTTCCACTATATTTATGGACATCCTGGGAAAAGAGAGACTTTTCTATGGATCAGGATCCTATTGTGCTGCCTACAACTGTCCGTGAGTGAACAATCCACCATTCGGCCTGGTGATCTTGGATTCGTCATTCATTGGAGTCAACAGATGGTTTACTGCCTGCCGACCTTGAGCTTGTCAGCCCCTGCAGTTGTATGTCAGGAAAAGCCTCCAACTTGATGTTTTATCCTAGAACTTGAGACTTGCCAGCTTCTATAAGTGTGTGAGCTATTTTCCTAAGATAAATTTCTCTCTCTCTCTTTCTCTCTCTAAGCTTTACTGGTTTTGCTTCTCAAGAACCTAGCCTAACACAGTGTGGCTGCCCACAATCATCAGGGACCCAGGCTCCTTCTGCCTCCTGCTCCTCTTCCCCCTCTTCTGCACATGACTTCCATCTTTAAGGTTGCCTTATGGCCTGAAATGCCTGCCAGAGTTGCAGCCATTCTGTCTGCACAAGCTTTCCAGTCTCACAAAACAACTCCCATTTTTCTATCTTACCCCTATTTTCATGGCTGGTTCCTCCTCATCCTTCAACTGTCATCTCAGGTGTTCTCACCTCAGAGAAGCCTTCCCTGGCCACCTACCTAAAGTTGTACCACCACCACCACCCCTGGCGCTGTCTTATCATCTCTAGAGCACACACCGTAATTGATAATTGTCTGGTTCTTTTATTATTTTCTTTGTTCGTTGTCCCTCTTCCCCACTAGACTGGAAGATCTCTGAAGGCAGGGACTGGGTCTATCTTGTTCACTACTGTATCCCCAGTGCTTCACCAGTGTCTGGAACATAGTAGTTGACCAATAAATGTCTGTTGAATGATTGAATGACCAAACTCACTGCTATAGAGTCAGATCCAACTCATAGCAACCCCTCCTTGGGTTTCCATGGCAGTATCACTACGGAAGTAGATTGCTGGACTAAATGTTTTTGGAGGGCCATCCTTGCCCTGAGAAGATGAACTAGTGGGCAGCATGGGAAGGGAAGGTGTGAACAGGTAAGTCAGCCTCCCTGGCATTACTCACAGCCTAGGCTGACTGGAGAATCCAGGCCCTGGCCAGAACTAAATGTTTCCATGGAAACCCATTTAAACAGCAAACTTCCTTAAACCCCTTATCAGAGCCAGGTTGTTGTCAAGTGCAGGGGATATGGAGCAGGGACATTAAGGGCCTGCCCTAGAGGATTCATGGGCTAGTATGGGTATGGAGGAAGGACAGACAGAAGAACTAACCATGATACAGTGGGCTCAATGTTGATCAGTACAAATGGCTGAACGCTGTGCTAGGGAGCACCTACCTCCACACCTCATTCATTCATTTGACAAATAATGGTTGAAGACCTACTGTGTGCTGGACTATGTATGTTCTAGGCACTGGGGATAGAGCAGCAATAAAGCAGACAAGATTACTGCCTCATAAAACTCATTCTAGTAGGAAAGACAAGCAATACACAAGAAGTCAAATAAGTGAGCAAGGTTATTTCAGACAACAGAAGGTGCAGGAAGATGGAAACAGTCCTCAGGCAAGAGCTGTTTGAGGAGGCAGTGTCTGAGTTGAAACATTAATGCTACAAAGGAATCCCAAGAAGGTCTGCTGGTGGAATGAATCAGCAGAGGGAACCAATGCGAAGTCCTAAAGCTGAAACAAGCTCAAGATAATGGAGGAGCAGGAAGAAGGCTGCTTCAGTTGGAGGGGAGTTGCAGGGCAGGGGAAGGATGGTGCAGACAGGGTGGGACTAGGGTGAGACACGTGATTCAGGTACGGGAGTTAAGTGAGTGCCAGAAACCTCAGTAATTGAGATAACAGATTTAATGCAATGTTTTTAAAATCAAAAGTAATACAAAAACATCCAGGATGAACAAAATACCAAATTTTTAAAGAAAGACAAGATCTAGTAGCAGTGCTGTTCTGAGCCATATTTAGAACCTGCAGCAAAAGGGAAAATCAGTCATATGGATTCTGCTTTTTTTCAGTTTAATATTTTGTTAATCGTGAATTTTTGTTGTTGCTCATCATGGGTGCCCGTAAAAATCATTGTGGAAAACTTATCCCCTGGTGTTAAGATCATGGGCTCTGGAACCAGAATGCTGGGCTCCAAATCTGGCTTTTTTTCCCTACATTCTTAGCTGTATGCTTTTGGGCCAGTGTCCTGCCTCTGTACTCTGTGTTTGCATCAGAAGATAGGGCTAATAATAGTGCCTCAGGATTACTGAGAGGATGGGATGAATTAAAACAAGCAGAGGGCCGAGAACAGTGCCTAGAGAAAGAATGATGGCAGTGGGTGAGCAGACAGTAGTGCAGCCTTGATTCCACCAGAGGATTCAAAGCAGGGACCCACACGACTGGATCAGGGTGGGCAGCAGAGGGGGATTGGGAGAGGGAGTCCAGAGCTCCTAGGATAGTCTGAGAGGAGGTTGTTGTAAAAATAAAAATGAAATACGGAAAGATGGAGAAAGATTCTGGAGATACTTAGGAGGCCAACACCCCAGTTCGTGGCCTGGGCCACCTTTGGCCTGCGCCCCCATCCGGGCCTTGTGTGTGTTCCAGAGGGAGCTGAAGGAGCAGCTTCAAGCCCTTCAGGACAGCGAGCGGGAGCACACAGAGGCACTGCAGCTACTCAAGCGCCAGGTGGCAGAGACCAAGGTGAGCCTGGCCTGGTGCAGGCATGGGGCCCACGGGGTGGGGGCAGGGCCATCTGTGAAGAAAAGAGGGCGGTGCCTCGCCAACCAAACTTCGATTGGAGGGGTGGGACATGGAGGTATGGGGGGAGCTGAGGGGGGTTTCCATGGAGGTAAGTGGGGCTCCAGGCAACTGAGGACAGGGATTTGGGGTTGGTGCCTGAGTTAAGGGTGGGACCCTCCAAGACCAAGGTTAGTGCAGGGCCTTTCTCCCTTCATGCTTTGAGTGGAAATTGTTGTTGGGACCAGAGACCCTCTGGAAGCTCCCAACCCCCTGTAGGGCTTCAAGTATGTACCTAGTCTCTTTTTCCAACCCCTTCATTAAGCATATCATTGCCCTAGATGCTAACCCTGGGCATGTCTGCTCACAGCTCTTCTCTCAAGCTTTTCTGATGGCTTATGACCCAGTCCTGGTACCAGTTCCCTTCTTTACCTCAAGGCATGGAGATAGGAACTCTGGAAAGTAGAGCCAAACCTTGCATTCTCCACTACAAAAACCCAAAACTGAACCCATTACCATCAAGCAGATTCTACTCATAGCAACCCTACAGGACTGAGTAGAACTGGCCCACAGGGTTTCCAAAGCTGTAAATATGGGAGCAGACTGCTGTATTTTTCTCCTGTGGTGTGCCTGGTGGGTTCAAATGGCTGACCTTCTGGTTAGCAGCCAAGCACTTAACCACTGCATCACTAGGGCTCCTTTCGTCTCTACTACCAAAACCAAACCCACTGCCATCAAGTCAATTCTGATTCATAGCAATCCCTATTGGGTTTCTGAGGTAGTAAATCTTTACAGAAGTAGATTGCCCATCTTCTGCAGAGCAGCTGGTGGCTTTGAACTGCCAACCTTCTGGTTAGCAGTCAAATGCCTTAGGCACTACACCACCAGAGCTCCTTGTCACTAGTACAGTGATTTGGAAATAAAAGCCTTTTTCCTTGACCTGAGAGGAAGGACGTGAGTTCTGATCCAGCCACTAACTCATTGTATGACTTTGTAAATGGCATACATTCCTGGGCCCCTAGTCTTCCCCTCTGTATGATGGGTACTCTCCCTGGCTCCAGTTCTGAAGTTTTAGATGCTAGCACACTTCCAAGGGGCTCCCTCTGAGTTCCCCCCACAGATAACTCACTAACTGACTAGGACTTGCTTTGATTTTTGCCCCATCTTTCTGGGACGAAGAATGGGTATCAGGGCCCAGCTGCCAAGTCAAAGGGCAATTTCAGTCTTACTCTACTCTCTTAGCAGAGATGCTGTTGCCAGCAGCATCTGGAGCAGAGCCTTGGGAATGTTCTGGGCCTCCGGAGGTCACCCTGCGGCCTGGAGAGGCCATCAGTGACCCAGATCTTTGCCCCAACTTGGCCACCAACCCACTGTGGGGTCTCAGGAAGGTCAGGAGATACACTTTTTCAGAGAACATTCCTGAGTGCCTCTGGACAGGAGCCTTGTCAGGCAACAGATGAGAAGCAGTCCTAGGACTTGGAATCTATTGCTTGACAAAGCCTCAGTTTCCCTATCTGTCTGGTGATTCTACACCTCTGCGGTAATACAGAGCAAATGGAAGCTCTTATCTGGATAAGAAAGAAATATGGTCTGCTTCTTCCCAGCGTTCCCTTCTCTCTTCTACCACCCCCCCCCATTGTTTTTCTCCACTGACCTCTTCCTCCCCCGATTTCCTGTCCATCTGTCTGCCTCCAGGGGGTCTTTGGGCCCCCCTCCCCGCTCCAGTTCCCCCAGCCCTGCTTCCTGTCTGGACTGGGATGTTTATATAAGAAATGCCTATGGATGCTTTGGAGGTCATATTTCACCTGGTGCCTGACTCGGCTTTCCTGCGGCGCCTGCCCCTCCAATGGCCCAGCCTTGGGGCCCGTCTGTTCTCCTTCCTCAGGCTCTGTGTTTTCCTTGGTCAGTCTTGGCGGGATGAAGCATTCTTGGCAGGGTGTCTTTCTGAACCGGCCCCAGCTCCTCCTGTTTCCAGGGATGTGACGAGCTGGGCTGGGGGCTATTTTCCCAGCCATGGCACTGAAGGGTTGGAAGTGTGGGGTGGGGTTCTGTCCTAGGAAGAACAAGAGTACGTGGTGCACACTGTCGTTTCTCTACTGGGAACGATTTCCTGTTTGCACAAAAACCATAGAATGTTACCTCCACGGTGGCAGAACTCCCCAGAACCCAGCACAGTGCCTGGCACAAATAAATAGTTATTAAATAAGTGAATGAAAAAAGCACCTTTGGGGGTAGGAATTGTTTTGCTTACTTTATTGGTGGTACAGAGAAGTTGAGGGACTGGCCTGAGGCCCCAAAGCTACTAAGTGACAAATTGGAAGCATACTATCCTGGTCTGTCTGATCCAGTTTGTCATAATCCAGCCTCATGCTGTGCTGTCCCCCTGAGATGCCCTCAGCAAGATCTATGGCTTTGTGGTCAGCAAGCCAGGTAGGTCGAGAGTGCCCATCTGGGACATGCTTGGGGCTCCAGGGATGACTGCCACTCTGAGCTTATACTTCTGAGCTACCCTCTCCCTGTCTCCCCCTTTCCCCACCCATCCTCCCTTGTCCTTAGCACACTGGACCCCCCATCTAGGAAGAAAATGGAACCGGCACCCAGCTCAGCAGAGCAGTCTTGGACAAGACCCTTCCCTCCTCTCCTTCCCCTCTCAAGTAGTTCCTGACTACCAGCTTTCTGCCAGGCCCAGTGATGGGCATAGGGGTGGTACAGGGCTAATAAAGACATCCTTCCCACACAGAACGATGCATAAAATGTGGGCCAGCATATTAAGATTGTTTGCAAAATGCTCTGAATGCATCCAGCTGCCTGAAAAAGTTAAAAAAGGAACCACAAAGGAGGTAGCTTTTGATCTGGGTCTTGTAGGATGAGTAGGAGTTTGCCAGTTGAATAAAGGGTTTGGAGGAGTCATTCTAGGCAGGAGGAATTGTAATGCTGTGGCTCATGGGAGGTAAATTGGGATCAGATTGAGAGCGGCTTTAAATGCCAAGCTAAGTAACATTTCACTAGTCATCAAGGAACCAGGAAAGTTCCTAAACACAGCACTGGCTGTGACCTAGTTTGCACCGAAGGATACACTGGTGGCAAATTTGTAGGCAAAGACATGCAGTTGACTTGTGGATCAAGGGAATTAGAGAGATCTGACAGTCTCCCCTTGTCTGGTGATTCTGGTAATGCAGCGGTTAAGTGCTTGGCTGCTAACCGAAAGGTCAGCGGTTTGAACCCATCAGCCTCTGTGGGAGAAAATGTATCAGTCAACTTCTGTGAAGATTATGGCCTTGGAAACCCTATGGGCAATTCTACTCTGTCCTGTAGGGTTGCTATGAGTCGAAAGCAACTCGGTGGCAATGGGTGTGTTTTGTTTTGTTTTGTTTTGTTAAATGATGAGCAAATGGAAGCATCTGTCCAGATAAGAGGGGGAATATTATGGTCTGTTTCTTCTCCCCAACATTCTCTTCTTCTACCCCCAATGCTTTTCTCCACTAATCTATTCCTTCGCAGCCAGTCTGTGAGTCCCTCCTGGGTGGGAATGATATCTTCCTCAGCCCTGCACCTCATGGGACCCCGCGGAACCCCATGGGGACATGTCGAGGAGGCAGTTGGAAAGATGGATGTAGCACTCAGAAGACAGGCAGGGCCATCGAAGTAGACTTTGGTGTCTATGTTAAAGCAGTAGGAGTTGAAGATGAGGGTGGACATAAGGGGACAGTGAGAGGAGCGGGCCAGATAAGCCCCAGGGAACATGGGAGGCAGAGAGAGGCTGCCACAGAGGTGGGAAGTGAACCTCTTCCTTTAGTAGAGGGAAGCCAGTTAGCCACACTGCTGCAGAGTCATCAGGGAGGAACCAGAGGGTGTGGCCATGGGATTTGGGGGCTTTGGTGGGCAGTTCAGATGGTGTGGAAGCCCAGGGCCCATTGCCTCATCAGCAACGTGCCACCACAGAAGCTGCAATCCCCCGGGTGAGGGGCTCCGGGAAGCCACAGGCAGCCTGGCCGTGCATGCTAGCCTCTCCTCTGCCTCCTCTTTGTCTGCCTGGAGCTCTGGGTGGGCATGCGCAGGGAGGCTGGCCCGCTGCCAGCACTTCTTCCTGCTGGCTGCCAGTGCCATAGAGAGGGAACAGGCCCTAATTGAGCCTTTGTCGAGCCTCCCACAGAGCCCTGGGCACTGAACACAGTGGGGTCTCTGACTCTGTGAACTCCCAGCCAGCATCCCACAAAGTGAAATTGCAGAGGCAGGCCCCACACATGGCTGCAGCTGGGCTGGACTTTTGGGACATGTCGTCCTGACTCTGTAGCCTGTACTTGTGCTGTTCCCTCTGCCTGTTCTCCCAGCCAACATCCTGTGCATCCTTCAGGCCCCCACTCAGAAGCCACCTCTCAAAGATGACTTCTGGGACACTCCCATTAGAATGGATCCCTTTTTAATAACCAAGTTCTTTCTCTGTAACTCCAAAGGTGCTATAGGATTTATGAACGTTTCCTCATTTAATCTTCACCATAACCCTACAATGTAGCTTTTGTTACCCATTTTACAGAGAAGATAACTGAGGCTTGGAGATCTTGGGCATCTATGGTTACCACTGCTCAGAGATCTTGGGCATCTATGTGTTACCCAAAGATGGGATTCTTCTCCAGGCTGTCACCACTCTGTCCCTGGCAGTGCCAGTGTGGGCAGAGGAAACCACAGAAGTCCCTGCAAACGTTCCCTGAAAATGGTTCTAACCTCCAGCTCTTGTTCCTAGGCCAGAGGAATCTCAGGTGTAGTGGGGCAGGGCAAGCGTCCTCCCAGGTTGCCTTGCACTGTGCAGTTGATACAGCCCTTTGACAGTAGTGATCCCCCTGTCATCTTTCCTTGAGCCCCATGGGTGAGTTTTAAGAAACAAAGACCTCAGTGTACCCTAGACTGAACTCAGCATCTTCTCCTTGTCCCCCACCTCTCACCTCATCCTTCCTACCCCAAGCCAGAAATCTGAGCATCATCCTTGACATCTTTCTGTCTCGTATGCCTACAGCCAGCTAGTTACCAGGCCCCAAGAGTCTCCCTCCTAAGGACCTTTCAGACTCTTCCTTTTCTCTCCATCTCTGCTCGCCTTCTAATTCAAGCCTCATTGTCTCATGTGGAGCATCTCATTAGTTTCCTAATGGACCACATAGAACTATTTGCTGTCCCTACATATGCCGTGCCCTTTTCATACCACCGTGGTATAGTATGCATCATCCCCTCCACCAGCTGTGCCCATTCCCAGTCTCTCCTCCCCTTGTGTCAGAGCCCGCCGCTTCTTCCTCTTACCCAGGGCTACTCCCACCCACTCCGCCTGCCCTAACCCCTGATGACTATCCCCTACAGTCTTCCACCAAGAGCCTGCGGACCACCATTGGTGAGGCCTTCGAGCGGCTGCACCGACTGCTGCGTGAGCGGCAGAAAGCCATGCTGGAGGAGCTAGAGGCAGATACGGCCCGCACGCTGACCGACATTGAGCAGAAAGTCCAGCGCTATAGCCAACAGCTGCGCAAAGTGCAGGAAGGGGCACAGATCCTGCAGGAGCGGCTGGCTGAAACTGACCGGCACACTTTCCTGGCTGGGATGGCATCACTGTCTGAGCGGTAAGTGCCCACCGACTGGGGCCTTCCTCAGCAGGCATCCCTTCCCCTAGTCTTACAGGGTGGTGGAAGTGGAGGCAGATGGGGGGTTAGCAGACTTCATTCATTCAAACCTTCCTCAAACATTTGTGGGGCACCTGCTGTATGCCAGTAATATATCAAACAGTGTTTCACTGCTGTCCATGAGATTTTCACTGGCCAATTCTTTGAGAAGTGGATGATGACCCCTTCCTTCTTCCCAATCTGTCTTAGTCTGGAAGCTCTGCTGAAACCTGGCCACCATGGGTGACCCTGCTGGTGTTTGAAATACCAGTGGCATAGCCTCTAGCCTCACAGCAACATGCAAGCCCCCACAGTCCGACAAACTGACAGATGAGCTGTGTGCCAGAGTTTAGGCTAAAAGTTTTATGTATTTATATTGTTATACATATATTCCACTGCCACCAAGTCTATTCTGACTCATAGCAACCCTGTGGGACACAGTAGAGCTGCCCTGTAGGATTTCCAAGTCTGTAATCTTTACAGAAGCAAGCTGCCATATCTTTCTTCTGCAGAGCAGTTGGTGGATTCAAACTACCAGCCTTTTGATTAGCAGTGGAGTGCTTTAACCACTGCACAACCAGGGTGCCTTATACACGTTACATCTATTTTGTACATATGATATAATAATACATGATAGTATTTGTAATCATTTATGTTAAAAATAAGCTATTTATGTTATACAACTATTTTATATTAAATATAATCTGTTGTTTCTGTTAGATATTATATAGTTGGAAAATATGGCTTTGGTGATAGAAATGGTGATGGGGATCATATGATTGAATTTTGCAAAACCAATGACCCAGTCATTGAAAATACCTTTTTTTCAACAACATAAATGGTGACTACATACGTGGAACTCGCCAGATAGAATACGTAAGAATCGAATCAACTACATTTGTGGGATGAGATGATGGAGAAGCTCAGTATCAACAGTCAGAACAAGGCCGGGGCCAACTGTGGAACAGACCATCATTTGCTCACATGTAAGTTTAGTTGAAGCTAAAGAAAATGGAAACAAGTCCACAGGACCTTGAGTATATCCCACCTGAATTTAGAGACCATATGAAGAATAGATTTGCCACATGGAACACCAGTGACTGAAGGCCAGACAAGTTGTGGGATGAGATCAAGATCATTATATGTGAAGAAAGCAAAAGGTCATTAAAAAGACAGGAAAGGAAGAAAAGACCACAATGGATGTCAGAAGAGACTCTGAGACTTGCTCTTGAATGGAGAGTAGCTAAAGCAAATGGAGGAAATGATGAAGTAAAAGAGCTGAGCAGCAGATTTCAAAAGGGCAGCTTGAGAAGACAAAGTATTTATAATAAAATGTGCAAAGACCTGGAGTTAGAAAATCGAAAAGGAAGAATATGCTTGGCTTTTCTCGAGAAAGAACTGAAGAGAAAAATTCAAGCCTCGGAGTGCAATATTGGAGGATTCTATGGGCAAAATATTGAATGATGTAGGCAGCCTCAAAAGCAAATGGAAGGACTACACAGAGTTACTTCACCAAAAGAATTGGTCAGCATTCAGCCATTTCAGGAGGGAGCATATGATCAAGAACTAATGTAAAGGCATTTGACTGTGTGGGTCATAACAAATTATGAGTAATATTGCAAAGAACGCGAATTCCAGAGCACTTCATTGTGCTCTTGAGGAACCTGTACATAGACCAAGAGGCAGTCGTTTGAGCAGAACAAGGAAATATTACGTGGTTTAAAATCGGGAAAGGTATGCATCAGGGTTATATTCTTTCACCATACTTAATTTGGTCTGTGTGCTGAGCAAATAATCCAAGCAGCTGGACTATATGAAGAAGAACATGGCATCAGGATTAGGGGAAGACTTATTAACAACCTGTGATATGCAGATGATACAACCTTGCTTGCTGAAAATGAGGATGACTTGAAGCACAGATGAAGATCAAAGACTGCAGCCTTCAGTATAGATTACACCTCAACGTAAAGATAAAAATACTCACAACTGGACCAATAAACAACATGATGATAAATGGAGAAAAGATTGAAGTTGTCAAGAGTATAATTTTACTTGGATCCACAATTAATGCCCATGGAAACATCAGTCAAGAAATCAAACACCATATTGCAGTGGGCAAATCTGCTGCAAAAGACCTCTTTAAAATGTTAAAAACAAAGATGTCACTTTGAAGACTAAGGTGAACCTGGCCCAAGCCATTGTCTTTTCAATAGCCTCATATGCATGTGAAACCTAGACATTGAAAAAGGAAGACCACAGAAAAATTGATGCAATTGAATTATGGTATTGGTGAAGAATATTGAATATACCACGGACGGCCAAAAGAACAAACAAATATGTCTTGGAAGAAGTATAGCCAGAATGCTCCTTAGAAGCAAGAATGACCAGACTTCATCTCATGTACTTTGGTCATGTTATGAGGAGGAAACAGTCCCTGGAGAAGGATGTCATGCTTGGTAAATAGAGGGCCAGAGGAAAAGGGGAAGACCCGCAGTGACATAGATTCACTCAGTGGCTGCAATGATGGGCTCAAGCACAGCAACAATTGTGAGGATGGTGCAGGACTGGGTGGGGTTTTGTTCTCTTGGCCATAGAGCTGCTATGAGTTGAAGTTGACTCAGTGCCACCTAACAAGAACAATAACATGTATTATTTATAACAATATTTATATTATATCTAATAAATAGGAGCTCTGGTAGCATAGTGCCTAAGGCACTTGGCTGCTAACCAGAAGGCTGGCGGTTCAAACCCACCAGCCACTCCTCGGAAGGAAGGTTGGGCAATCTACTTCTATAGTGATACCTCCTCAGAAACCCAAGGAGGGGTCGCTATGAGTTGGGTCCGACTTGATGGCACATAACAATGACATCTAATAAATATTAATATCATCTTATTATGTGAAGGATTTATATTATTATAGCCCTTACAGCCCCCTGGGTGGTGCAAACAGTTAACACACTCAGCTGCTCAAGGAAGGGTTGGCAGTTGTCCACTCACAGATGCCTCGGAAAAAAGTCCTGGTGGTGGACTTCTGAAAAATCAGCTATTGGAAACCCTGTGAGCTCAGTTCTATTCTGACACGCATGAGGTGGTGTTCTGGTTCCCTAGTGCTGGTCTGACAGGAAATACCACAAATGCTATGGCCTTAACAAACAAGACTTTATTTTTATAATTTGGAGGCTTTAAGTCCAAGTTCAAAGTGCCAGGCTCTAGGGGCTGGGTGAAAGCCCCTCAACCTTGGACTTAAGCTGTGCCTCTTGCTCCCGGCCCACTGAAGCTAGAGGCATCTCTTCACTCAGGCAGCTACTGGCTGCTGAGGCTAACAAGACCAAGGTCGACAAATAAAATGGCACAGTCCAGATGTTTACCAAACAACACGGCAGGCCATTGATTCAAGTCCATTATAAGTCCCAAGATCAGTAGAGCGTGGCAGGCTGATGAATAACGACTCTGCTACATGCAGGGTTCAAACATGCCATAGACTGGAGACCATTCCCATTCCCAAGGCTTCTCCTTATATACAGGAAGCAGACCACATCCCTAAGGCAGCTCCTCAGCTGCTCACAGTAGATTCCACCATGGAGTTGATTACCACCAGTCTCATCATGGGGGGTAATACTACATCCAGCTGCCCAGCCACTCAACCAGGCCCAGCCAAGTTGGCACACAAACTGAACTACCACAGGTGGCCATGAGTTGGACTTGACTTGATGGCTACATGTTCCCAGCCCTCCTGGAACATAGGGGCCACTCACTGCCTTCCCTATTTCACACATGTAGACACTGATGTCCAGGGAAGCTAGGTGAATTGAACCAGACTCCTCATCTAGTAAATGGTAGAGCCAGGATTAAAACCCAACTCTCTCTGACTCCACAGCTGCCCTTAATAATTATATTTAATTATTGATATATTGATGATCATTAAGTAACTTTAGTGGCATGATGGTTAAAGCACTCAGCTGCTGACCAAAAAGTTGGTGATTCAAACCCAGTAGCCGCTCCCTAGGAGAAAGATACGTCAGTCTGTTTCTGTAAAGATTTATAGTCGTGGAAACTCTGTGGGGTAGTTCTATGAGTCAGAATCAACAGCAGTGGTATTTGGTGTTTTAGTGGGTGATGAATAATACCGATAGCTAATATCCCCTATTCACTGCTGTCCTTGAACCCAGCACTGTGCTAAGCCTTTTACTTACATTATGCCATGTCATCCTCACAAAAACCCGAGAACGCAAGTGTTAACCGCTAGTTCCCATTTTAAAGATGAAAACACTGAGGCTAGCAGCTAGAGAGGTAGGAAGTGGCACAAACAGGCACTTGAAACTTGTCTGGCTGACTTCACCCCCCTGACCTCACCCTGTGTCAGATGCCCTGAAGGTGTCTCCCTGGGCCCCAGGCTGGTGTGGAGGCAGGGATCCAGCCCCCAGTGCAGCCTGCTGTCCTGCTCCCCTTCCAGGCTCAAGGGGAAGATCCACGAGACCAACCTGACATATGAAGACTTTCCAACTTCCAAGTACACGGGCCCCCTGCAGTACACCATCTGGAAGTCCCTGTTCCAGGACATCCACCCAGGTAAGGCCCTGCCTGCGTCTTCCTGAGAGGGCGGAGGAAGAGTTGGGGATGGCCATGACTGGAGCCAGATGGGGCATGTCTCAGCCTGCCTCAGCCCTCTGTTCCCAACACAGCACGGGGGTAAGGCAGAAGGGTGAGAACGTCCCTTGCCAAGTACCTACCATTTTCTAGGACCTGTGCTGGGCACCTGCACAATCACTCAGCTCAGTGCACCGTCACAAAAACCTCCTGAGGTCAGTTTCATTAGTAGGCTTATTCTCCATATGAAGAGACTGAGGTCCTAGGTGGTTCATTCATTCATTCTGTATGTGCAGCATACCTCAAGCACCTACCTCGTGCCAGGCACTGTTCTAAGTGCTAAAGATAAAGCAGTGACCGAAGAGACAAAATCTCTGCCATCAGAAAGCAGGACACAGGAAGGTGACCACAGGGAGGAAGCGGGAAGAGAACTGTTACATTACAGGGGTTGCAGTCAATGTCAGGAAGCAAAATGTGTATGAACTGTTGTGTAGAAAAAGAATTTGCTCTGTAGATTTTCACCCAAATCACAATAAATAAATAAGTAAATTTCTGCTCTCATGGATCTTACCTCCTAGGGCATGAGCGAGAAGTAAATAGCTTATTGGGTAATGATAAAGGGTAAGGAAGGAGGTGAGGGATGTTCACACAGAATAAAGATAGATGGAGGATACTGTTAGAAGACCTCACCAAGACTGAGGCAAGGAGGAGAACGAGCCAGGTGGCTATCTGAGGGAATAGTGTTCCCGGCAGTGGAAACACCAGGTGCAAAGGCCCTGAGACAGACCATGCCTGACGTGTTCAGGGAACAATAAAGAGAGGAGGCCAGTGTAGCCAGAGCGGAGTGAGTGAAGGAGAGAGGTGAGGAGGTCAGAAAGGTAGCCTTCTCACCCTTAATAATTAAGAGAGGAAGGCCGTGAGAGCCCATAGGCCAGTGTGAGTACTTTGACTTCTACACTGAGTGAGATGGGAGCTATTGGAGGGCTGGGGACAGTGAAGTGACATGTGCTGACTTAAGGTTTTAAGGATCCCTCTGCCTGCCGGATTGAGAACACACTGGAGGAGGATGAGGGTAGAGACTGGGAAGCCAGTTAGGAGATCACTGCTATAAACCAGATGGCAGATAATAGTGGTTTGGTCCAGGGTGATGGCAGTGGAGGTGGTGAGACGTGGTTAAATTTAGTACATATTTTGAAGGTAGAGCCAATTAGGATTTGCTTATGGATTGGATCTCAGGTGTGAGAGAGCAAGAGAAGACAAGATAGCTACCAGGTTTTTAGCCTAGGTGGCTAGAAGGGTGGAGTTACTATTAACTGAGATGAGAAAGCCTGAGGAGGAACAAGTTTTGGGGGAGAGGTCAAGAGTTCAGTTTTAAACCTATGAGGTTTGTAATGACTATTAGATTTCTGAGGGCTCGTGTTGAGAAGGTAGTTCAAATTACAAGTCGAGTATAGGAGAGAGGTCAGGGCCAGCATCATTATTAGCAAATGGATGGTGTTTAATGCTCCTGGATGAGATCATCTAGGGAGTATGAGTAGATAGAAAAGAGGGGAGTCACCCCAACATTTGGAGCCCCAGGACATTCCTAAAAGTCATGAATGGGAGGGGGAGGAGGACCCAGCCAAGAAGACCTAGAAAGAGCAGCCAGAGAGGTGGGAGGGAAGCCTGGGCCTGTCTTGGAATCCAGTACAAGAAAGTGTTTCCAGGAGTGGTCAGTGATGTCAAAGGCTGCTAAGCCAAGTGCTGGAGAATCGAGAACTGACCATTCTCTAGGTTTAGCAACACTGGTGACCTTGACAAGAGCTGTTTTGGTGGAGTGATATGGGTGAAAAGCCCAACTGGAGCCCATCCAAGAGAGAATGGGAGGAGAGCAAGTGGAGACAACAGGTGGAGACAGTGCTTTCAGGGAGTTTTGCCTAAGGGTGGGAGAGAAAATGTGGCAACAGCTGTTTATTTAAGATTGGAGAAATAACAGCCTGTTTGTGGGCTGATGGGAAAAACTCAGTAGAGAAGGCAGAACTGAGGATGAAGGAGAGAGAGAGAGAGTTGCTGCAATGGCGGCCTTGACTGCCACCCTGGGGTGGGATCCATTGCATGGCTGGAGGGCCAGCATGTACTAGGGGCCCAGATGGTTCATCTTCAGGTCCCAGGGAAGCAGAGTCAGTGGGCACCAAAGCAGATGGGGCAGTGCTGGAAGCTGGTAGGAATTCTCTCTGATTGCGGCTTTCCCAAGGAGGTGACAATAAAAAATGTCTCCAGATATTGTCAGATGTCCCGTGGGGGCAGAAATACACTGGTTGAGAACCACTGTTCCCAGAGAAAGCTGGCTTCAGGAGAGAGCCTAAGGAAGCAGTAGTATGTGCCCTGAATATCCTGCCTAGGGCAGCAGCCCCTGGGGAGTTGAAAGAACAGCAGCCTCTTTGGCTGGGCCCCTTCCTTTGTCTGTAGGGGCTGTGAAGTCACTCAGGCTACTCTGCCAGCACCAAGGCCCTTTATGTCCGGAAGGGAGGGGAAGGTGTCCCTAGGGACCTAGCTCATAGATTCTAGCAGTATCCTTCCCACCCCACCCCACCCCCGCCTGCCCTCAACTCAGGCTTCTTATTGGGTCACCTGAGAACCCCATTTAGCACTTGTCATTCCAGTGCTGGACAGCCTCCACTCTCTACCCCTCCTCTGTTCCACCCTTCCCTTCAGCCTGGTGTTAGAAACTTCTCTACCTACCCAGCCTGATGTCTCCAGCTCCCAGGCACAAACTTCCTCCCCAGCCAAGCTAGGCAACCCATTGTCCCAAGGACACTAGATACTACTCCCCTTGCTCCAGTCCCTCCCTCTCCTGTGCTGCCCTCTCCTCTCCCCTTCCTTACCTGAATCCAATCATTTTGAACCTAACATGTTTATTGCCTGACTGTGTGACCCAGGGCAAATCACTGCCCTCTTTAAGCCTCAGTTTCCTCATCTGTAAAATAGGGACAGTGGCATTTCTCTCCCATAGTAGGTATGACAAAGAAAAAAATTTTGTTGTAATATTAATCCTGGAACTTCGTAAGTACTTGAAACCTGTTTGTTACTATTATCTTGACTCATTAGATGGTTCCTCAGTGTTGCTGAACAGGCTTTCTGGGACCACATATTGGAAAGAACATGGTGTGAAAAGACCTCAGCTCAAGTTCCAACTCTGCTTGCACCCCTTGAGCAGAGAAGTCTTCTTGGAGCCTCAGTTTCCTCTTCTGAAATATGGGTATACACAGGGACACACTAACTAGGTCAGTGGTTCAACACACCAGCCTGCTTCCATCAAGATTTACAGCCTTGGAAATTCCATGGGGCAGCTCTACTCTGTCCTGTAGGGTCTATATGAGTCAGAATTGACTCCAAGGTAATGCTTTTTTTTTTTTTTTTCCCAGGTACAGGACCTATTGTAACTGGGCAGTGCTGGCATTGTGGGCAAGAGCCCCTGAGTTAGTTGTGCCCCTGAGGCTGCTAAGATGCTCGCATGAGTTAGCGGGTATGAAGATAGCTTGGGGATACCCAAATTGCAGCTAAAGCTGTGTGGTGCAAGGAGGCCTGAGGGACCGAATTCTTGAAGGCCTAGTCAGTGGAAAGAGCTGATGGCATTTCCTGTCCTGTCAGGCCTCTGTTGGCTTGAGGACTCAGCTTCAAGAACTTGCTCGAGGACTCGAGAACTTGCTTGGCAGTGGTGATGGCAGCTGGGGCTTTGCACTGGGAAAGGGTTCTCTGCTGCGGGAAGACATTTCCTGAAGCCTTACCAGTTCCTGTTCCTTTCCGAGTGCCTTTTGATCTCATGTGTCACCTTCCCTGAGCGTAGAGGCTGAGTGTGCCCATGCACAGAGACTGACTTCCTAGAGGGGGAAGGGCACTGCCATCCCTTCTTCTGTGTCTCTCTCTGGTCTGAGGACATTTACCTCTGCCAACTCCAGTCTCTGTAAGGCCGGAAGGAGGCCCAGAAGACAGGACCCTCTGTCTGTGGTGAGAAAGCCCTGGAGGTCAAGGGCAGCCAGGATGTCAGACCCTGCCCCACTCTCACTGAGGGTAAAAGTCTCCTGAGGAGCAGGCCACGCCCCCTATCTAATGAGAGTGCCAGACCCCACCCCATGGGATATGGGGCCTTGTCCAGTAGAAACCAGGCCCTGCCCCTGCTCTTGCCCACAATGCCAGCACTGCCCAGTAGGTCCTGTACCTGGGGGGAAAAAATGCACTGCCTTGGAGTCAATTCCGATTCATATAGACCCTGTAGGACAGAGCAGAGCTGCCCCATAGGATTTCCAAGGCCGTAAATCTTTATGGAAGTAGGCTGATGTGTTGAACCACTGACCTAGTTAGCAGCTGAGTCTTTAACCACTGCGCCACCAGGGCTCCTAGGCCTGCCCAAGGAGTGGCAGGGCCTGCCCTCATCCAGTCCCTCAGGTTCTGGCGTGCCACCCCCAGGAGCTGGGCTCCCAGTTTGGTCAGGTTTGCCTTCCTCTGCAGGCTCATGTTCAGCATACTTAATCCCTGAACCACAGAAAGCTCATGTGGCTGCCTCCTGGAGTGCCCTCCTCACTCCTCAGTGGCGTCTGGAAATGGCCTACGTGGTCATACACAGGCTTAAGCTTCTGAAGCCACACCCACATGCCTGCTTGCCAGTCTCCCCCTGGTCCTTCTTCCCTGAGCCATAGTTTCGCCTATTGCTGGTCTCCTCAAAACAACATGGGCCCCTTGGTCTTGGGCCGCCTCTGCCCCTCTGATCAGTACCCTCTGATATAGACACCCAAGTATGACCCACATCCTGCTGTACCCCCCATAAGGGTGATTGTTTCTGTATTTAATTAGGTTCTTCTCTCCCAGCCCTTCCCTACACACACCTCTCATGCCCCCTCAATCCCCAGCCTCCACATTCTAAGTGGCAAGAGCCTTCTGGTTCGGACAGGCTGCCTGTGATCAGTGAGACTATAGGGTGAAATGTTCACCCACTAGCCTAGTGTCTTTCTTCTCATAGTTCCCCCTCCTCTATTCCCTGGACAGGGAATTGTGTGCTTCCACTGACCCCTTTATTGACAGGCCTAATTGTTTCTGCATAGCCCACCAAGTTCTAAGAACAGGAAAGAGGAGTATAAGGTACAAAACTAAACTGACTCCTGACAGTAATTATGGAAGGAGCTTGCTATGTATCAGCTTTGCTGTTGTTGTTGTTGTTATGTGCCGTCGAGTCAAACCCAACTCATAGCGACCCCTCCTTGGGTTTCCAAGGCAGTATCACTTTGGAAGTAGGATTGCCCAACCTTCCTTCCGAGGAGTGGCTGGTGGGTTTGAACCGCCAGCCGTCTGGTTAGCAGACAAGTGTCTTAGCCACTATGCTACCAGAGCTCCTTCAGCTTTGCTAAGGGATGTATGAACAGGGATCGGCTGTTATTTCCTGTTGGAGATAGCCACCATCATTGAGGCATTTTGTTTCCATGTATGTATGTAGCCAACAGGAGTGATTCAAGTATGGGGTAATTCTCCAGTCAAGTGCAACCACAGCCTTGCTCCACCAGATAAGGAAAGAGCCAGAGAGCTCCTTCCACAGGAAGCTGATGGCAGGATTTCTTCTCCCCACCTTCTTCTTGTCTTGCTGTGGCCTAGAAACAGTCAGCCAGGCTAACAAGAGCCACTTGTAGGTTCCCTTTCTCCTTCTGGCTGGTCATCAGCTCCCTCAAGGGGAATAAGAGTAAACAGAGGCAGTGACAAGGGTTCATGAGACTTTGGAGCCAGACCTGCTGAGCCAGTATAGCCAGCCCAGAACCAGATGACCTAGCCTGTGTCACCCGTCCAAAGAGCAAAACAAATGGGGTCAGTTGAATTTGACAAGACTTTCTGGTACCTGTCCAATGCCAGGTACTCTGCTAGGTACTGAGCACAAAAGGGAGAACCCAGTGGGACAATACACGGTCCCGGCCCTTCTGGTGCAAATGAGGGGACACAGATGACTACACCCCATATCAGGAAAGTTAAGGAGTTTCAAACAGAGAGTGAGTCCTCCAGAAGATGAACCATTTGAACTGAGCTCCATGAAAGTGAGGACAACAAGCAGAGAGGAGATGGGAGACAGTAGCCTAAGCAAAGGCATTGGGCCTAAGTGGGAGGTGAGCAGTGAGAGGTCAGCTGGAAGACAGGGCTGTGGACAAGGCCAGGTTTACATGTGGAAGGACCTTAGCCATCACCCTTCCACCTGGAGGACGGGGTTGTATTCAGGGTCACACACAGTTGTGTTCAGGGGCAGTGGCCTTTGGAGAGCCAGAACTCTGCCCTCAGGGAGGCACCTCGTACTACATCCACGTCCTTCTCTCCACTCATTATCTCTCCTTCCCCCCACAGTGCCAGCTGCCCTGACTCTGGACCCAGGCACTGCCCACCAGCGTCTGATCCTCTCTGATGATTGCACCATCGTAGCCTATGGCAACCTGCACCCACAACCACTGCAGGACTCACCAAAGCGCTTTGACGTTGAGGTGTCAGTGCTGGGCTCTGAGGCCTTCAGCAGCGGTGTCCACTACTGGGAGGTGGTAGTGGCAGAAAAGACCCAGTGGGTGATTGGGCTGGCCCATGAGGCTGCAAGCCGTAAGGGTAGCATCCAGATCCAGCCCAGCCGTGGGTTCTACTGTATCGTCATGCATGACGGCAACCAGTACAGTGCGTGCACAGAGCCCTGGACGCGACTCAATGTCCGCGACAAGCTTGACAAGGTGGGCGTCTTCCTGGACTATGACCAAGGCCTGCTCATCTTCTACAACGCCGATGACATGTCCTGGCTCTACACCTTCCGTGAAAAGTTCCCGGGCAAGCTCTGCTCCTATTTCAGCCCTGGCCAGAGCCATGCCAATGGCAAGAATGTGCAGCCTCTGCGGATCAACACCATCCGCATTTAGTGTGGTCCGAGCAAGACCACAGCCTCTCAGGGACACAGCCACCAGCAAAAACCCTGCCCAGGAGATGGAAGGCCTGGACTCCAGCCTGGCTTGGCCACCCTGACACCTCAGGCCAGTTTACCCTCCAACCTCCATTCCTCTGTCTGTAAAATGGAAGTTGCACTCAGTGAGTCCTAGGTTCTCTAGAGGAGATGTTCTGTGACTCTGACTTTGATGGGGACATAGTCTTTGGTCCAGGGATATGACCTGCCTTCTCTTATGATCATTTCTTGCCCAACCTTCATCCCTATTCTCAGGGGCAGGGACCTGCCACCTTATATCTCCCTCCTACATAGATGCCCTGGACTCAGGATATGTCAGAGTGTTTCCAGCAGGTGGCAGCTTGAAAGAGACACAGAACCCTCATATGCTCCATGACCTAAGATTTGTCCCTGACCAAACTGGTGATGGGCCATTTGACCCTTGACCCCAGCCCACAGTAGCTGGTTCTAGGGCTTTTTGACCACCCTCTCTGTCATCCCCATATCATGAGCTACATGGTTCCTCCTTTTCGCACTGATCTGCAGGTAAGAAATGATGCTGTGAAGGGGTGCTAACCTGCAGAAGGCACCCAGTAGCTGGGTACACATGTGACTGTCACTGTGCTACCACTGTCCTACTCAGACCTAAGGACAGGTTGAGGGCACACCCTGAGGCTGACGTGCATCCCATCTGCCCAAAGGCACTTGCAGGGCAAGCATCCCTGGATGATCAAGGTCCCCGGCACCTCTTGACAAGGGTCCAGCCAGCCCTCACCAGCTGGGCCTCTGTGACCAGGCTAGGGTATGGGGAGGCTGCTGGGAGCAGTAGGCTTGAGCATGGGGAGGAGCTGTTCGCTGGGACCCCTCCTGAGACTTGGCATATGACTCAATTAGGATTCTGTTGCAGACAACAGAAGCCCCTTGGTTTTAACAGACAAAGGATTTATTACCAGTGCCCTGGAGACTTGTAAAATCATTGCAAGGTCTGGAGGATTGGACTCTTTGGTGAATTTCTAGGAATGACTCCCAGCCCCTGGACTCATCATGTCATTATTGTGACCAGGAAACGACTCCCAGCTGCAGGAAGCTACTGCATCAGGAGGCCACAGGCTGCAGAACTGTGCTTCCTCTGCCACCATCCATACCAGCAAACGGATGTCCTGAGGCCTGACTCTCCCACTGAACTCAGCTCCCAATCCAAATCTCTGCCAGAGATTCTGTTTGGGGAAAGATACAGAACTTTAGCTGCAAGGAGACCTGAGAAATGTAGTCCTTACCTTTCCAGCCTCAGCAGTACAAAAGCTACACTAAAGGAAATTAGAATGGATGTTAAGCAAGCTCATCCTTGGTTTTTGCTACAGCATCCAACTGTGGAGAACCCAGGGAAGACTGGAGTTCACCTCTAGGCTTTGGGTTTGAGACAGCAGAGCCTCAAGGTGTCCTGTTCTGTGACTGTGTCTCGCTCATGGATGGGAACCTGAGGAATGAGCCTGCAGAACCAAGCCAACATACCTCCTAAGCCTTGGCCTTTCTAGTTCTGGAGCCTAGATTCTGCCCTTTGTAGTCTCTGACCACATCAACTCAAAGGGAATAGCTGACCACCCTAGGGAGCTCCCACATCACCACTCCTGTGCACTGGGGCCTCCCCTGGGCAGGAGGAATCCTCACCTACCCCCATAGCTACCACATCTTTGGGTTACTCCCAACAATATTTTTATTTAAAATGTTACCCATTTTGTGAGTTATAAGGAATTTTATTAAATTAAAGTTATGGGATGTCAGTGGTTAGTTGTGTGATTTTGATAAACACAAAGGTCCAGGCAGTGTACATACAAGAGCATGGTTATTCCACAAAGTAATCCTACCAGATGGTATTGTGCTCATTTTACAGAGGAGGAGTAACGAGGTTCAGAGAGAGGATGTGACTTATTTGACAGTCCTGGATCCCACCCTAGTAGGCAATGGAGCTTGTATTAGGTCTGAGTTCTAAGCTCGCACTCACATCACAACCCTGCCTGGACCTTACCAGGCAGAGGAAACTACACATCTTTGACTGGGGTAGGGTCGTGATAGCCTTGGGAGCAGGAAGTGGCCTGTGGCACTTGTAAGAACCTGGGCTTGAGTCCAGCCTCCTCTATTTTGTGGCTTTAGGGAAAAAAAAAAAAAAAAAAACTTGCCCTAAGGGTCAGTTTTCCCATCTGGAGAATGGGGATAATAACACCCACCTCCTATGATTTGTTGGTAAGCTGTATAGTACACTGCACTTAGAAAGACCCTGCTTCTCCCTTCAGCTGCCTTGTTGAATCATTCGTGGAATTGGGTGGGCTTTCTGAACCTCTGGGCTGGCTCTGACCCTAAGAAGTTGTGCCGTGTGAGAGGTATAGGACCACCTAGGCCAGGAGGTTTTTCACAATGGTTAATCTACCCCCGATCGTGCGGTTGGCTCAGGATTGGGCAGCATGTTACTCCGTTTTGTATGGGCTGGCCAGGAGTTGGGAATTGACTCAACAGCATCTAACAGCAGGCCAGGGAGGGTCCACAGGTCTGGTTGTGGAAGGAGGTCCATCCCACTTCTGACAGATGAGGTCGAAGCTTGATGAGGAGCCAGGCAAGGGCCTGCATGTGGGCACATAGGCTGTGCACGCTGTAAATGGGAGAGCCACTGGTGTCCCTGTAGTTGTGCAGCGCAGCATCCTTGGAAACAGGAGTCCTGGGCCTATCTTGGCTCTTCCCTGATGTACCTTGTACCCTAGGGTCCATTTCTCACTTTCCTCACCTGCAGAATAGGAGAGTGAGACCTGATGCTCTCTATAGCACCAGGTGGGTCTTTACCTATGGCCTGGTGATGGGGAGAAAAGAGAATAACTCCAGGCACTGACTTGTTTGGGATTCTAAGAAGAGGAGCATGAGAAAGGATGGGGCAGGAGGGATCTCTGAATGGCTGACGGAGAGCACCCTGGGTGACAGAAATGTGATGAGTGTAATTCTGAGACTAAATTATCCCCAAGCTCCTCCTGTGCTCTCAGATCCCTGCATGCCCTCCAAAGCCATGCCCCTCCACCTGGAAAATGTAATTTTTATCTTTCCAGTATCAGCACTACAAAAGACACATTGGAAGGAAGTTAGAATGAATGCTGAGCAAGTTCAGTGGACTCTGCCTTCTCCATCCCCAAGTGCTTCCTGCCCTTTTCCCCCCTCCACCTCAGCACCAGGCCCAAGAAATGACGATTGGGGATAACCATAGGGGCATAACTTGCATACCCATTTGGGTCTTCTGAGAAGTCAGCAGTCCTCCAAGAGCTGTATTTATGTAAGTTTACAGAGAATTCCTGAATGAAAAAATACATATATATCGGATTGGCAGGCTGGTGCCAGGAACCCCACGTCTACCACAACAAAGAGGAGAGACAAAGGCAACCCAGCCTCCGGAGAGAGAAAGGTCAGCAAGGATCTTACCCCGGGCAGAAAGGAATTCATTGAAATGCAGGAACCTCATGCAGGACCCCTGTCTGTGGTCAGCAGGAAAAGTGCCAGCACTTTTACACCTTATCTAACCATGGAGACAAGCCCAGGAGGCTGGTGTCATTATCTTGGTGTTGGAGCAGGGAAAACATTACTTCCCTCAGGACCCACAGCCAGTGCTCCACAGGGCTGGGAATCACCCTTCTTAGCACCTAACAAGGCCATTAGTTCTGGATCCTTCTCTCTGAGGTGGCAGCAGGGACAGAAAACAACAGAGATGAGGGCTCCTGGCAG